AAGCATCATGGCCCATACAATACAGTTCTGGTTACAGTACATGTGCACATTTACCTTTTTTAGGATTATATTGCCTGGGTTCAAACCCCACCCCCTCCTTTATCTTCAACTTTACAATGAAGCTTCATGAGGTGCTTCATAATAGACCTGTTCAGAGAATGAATAATACATTTGAAATGTTTAGGACAGCACCAGGCACCAAGTAAGTATTTAGTAAGTATCAGTTGCTATCATTTGCTCTGAGACAGTATAAAAATTGCCAAAGTTTACACCTGAGAGAAAAGCAAAACAGAGGATGTCTTGGGCTTCCATCTTGTGATGAGACCCCAGTACCATGCCTCATTTGTCCCCTGGGACCAGCAGTTAGCGTAATGGCTACGTCACTGGACTCCCATGTAGTCAACCGCAGTTCACAGCCCAGACCCAATGGCTTAAAACTCACACCAGGCGCGTGTGCATGCGTGCCCAAGATCCTGAGAGGAGAATGGAGAAGAAGGAATTGTGGCATGGCCATCCCCCCGGGGGGGTGATTTCTCACTTTCTGTCTCTCTGTCTCTGTCTGTCTGGCGAGCGCATGCACCCTATAGAAAATACCTCTCCAAAAAAGAAAAAAAAAGAAAGTTGGCTTCCTCTAAGGTTTACCTCATCTAAAAGGTTCAACTGGAAGATCGTGTGTAAAAACAGGCCTTGAATATATTAAACATAAAGGAAGAAGAGAGGTTTCTCCACTCAGTAACCATTTAATGAGGTTTATTATGTGTCAAACACTTTCCAGATATTACCTTGATTCATCCTTTAAAAATTTTACAGTATAATTATTATTATTTCTACTCGACATACAAGAGAGAAAGAGAGAGAAAGGAACAAAGAAGAAAGAGGAAAAGGCAGAGAAAATAAGAAACCTAAATTAGTTTAGTTTTTCTTTTTTATTTTTTTGGGCGCGTGCGCTTGCCAGACAGACAGAGCGACATAGAGACAGAAAGCGAGAAATCACCACCCAGGGGGGATGGTCACACCGCAATTCCTTCTCCTCCATTCTCATCTCAGGATCTTGGGCACACATGCACCCGGCGTGAGTTTTAAGCCACCGTGTCCGGGACGCGAACCGCGGTCGACTACGTGGGAGTCCAGCGACATAGCCATTATGCTAACTGCTGGTTCCCCTAGTTTAGTTTTTCTAAAGTTAAGAGAGAGAGAGAAAGAGAGATTGGAATCCCTGACAGAGTCTAGCCATGCTGCTAGCCTCTGCCCAGCCTTCCAGCCATGCAGGATCGCAGACATACTCATAGGTGCATCTGGCATGTTCAGGAGAACCTGGAAGCTGAACCTAGGGCCTTCCAATATGGCTCTGACATTGTACAGAGGTGCCCCATCACCTGTACTGCCATGGCTGGGCCTGTTTTTTGTTTTTCTGTCATTTTCCATAGGACTTCATAAGCCCTAAGACACACAGAATGTTGTAACAATTCCAGGTGGGCTAGTAACAAAGAGCTGATCATCTCATGAAAACCCTTATGAGAGGCAAGGCTTCCTCCTCCCTCTGCAAGAGCCAACTCAAAGGAGATCTTCTTGGTCAGCTTTGGTCTGTCTTTGAAGACACTGACTCTTCCTCTTTCCTACTGCACTGTGTCTTGCTCATTCTTCCTGTGATGAAGATAATGATGAAGTTGCATTGTGCCCTTCCTGGAAGAACTGTGAGCTCCTTTGCAAAAGCATTCCCTATGCCCAGACAACATACGACATAGGAGTTGTAATAAAAATAATGTTCTGTATTTCGTGAATGTCTAAACAAAGCATCTCACAAGCCTTCTTGCACTAGATTAAATACTTTTGCACCCTCATCCCAATTTAAATATTGAAATTCTAATCTTCAGTGTGATGATATTAGGTGGTGGGGCCTTTGGGAGGTGATTAGGTCATAAGGTTGGAGCCCTCATGAATAGGATTAGTGTTTTTATAAATAGGCCCAGAGAAGCACCTTACCTCTTTCACCGTGTGAGGACACAGCTAAAAGACATCATCTAAGACCAGAATATGAGCCCTCGCCAGACACTGAATTTGTTTGATCTTGTATGTTACAGCCTCCAGAACTATGAGAAATAAATTTCTGTTATTTAAAAACTAGCCAGGGCCCACCCTATAGTGTAGCAGCTAAGGACTGTGCATAAAAAACTGGATTCCACATGGCCTACCACAGTTTGAATCCCAGTCCCAGTGGCTTGAAAAACACATCAGGCACATGAGTGTATGTGCTTAAAATTCTGATGGGATAGAGAAATGGAGGGAAAAAAAGAGAAAGGATTGTGACATGACAACTCCCCATGAGGGTGGGGAGTGCCTTCTCTGTCTCTCTGGCAATTCCACGCATTCTCTGGTGGTAAAAAGCTACCCAGTTCTGTTGTAGCACTCTGAATAGATCAAGACACTTCTTTATTACCTCCACTTGAGATCCTAAAAAAACTGATGGCTGGGCCCTTTGTGAGCAAAAACTCTGTAACCCAGGTGGTGAGAAGTTAGAGGAAAGTTAGGGAGTAGACAAAGATTCCTATTTTTATTACACAAGGTTCCAGAGTGGAGTGGTGGGGGTCCTAGTTTTTGCAAATGGACAAGGAAAAGAAGTCAAGCTGATGGAAAAGAAGAGACAAACTGTAATTTGAAGATGGTTTGACTTTATGATTATCCACATTAAAAATTCTGAAAGAATCCACAAACTGCAAGAACTAATAAGAGTCCTTTCTTATCTCAGGCATATCCCTTTGGAGTCTGAGTCCCACCCTACTTTTATAGCTCAATCGGTTGGAAGTAGAGAATGGTGCTACAAAGGCTGGCTTAAACTGGAGGAATATTCATGTAAATGTATCTTGAATTGATCCCCATTCAGAAAACTAGCTGCCAGCTGGCATGTTCCTGCTTGCATGTGTTCTGACCACACAAATAGAACTGTCAAAAGCACTAGTGAATATATCACTTACAAGAAAACATTTCTTTGGAGTAGAGATGGGAAGGCAGGTCATGCCCATGCTCTGGCCATAGTTATAATGTTTGTCATCATTGTACTCATGGGTATGGAGATACCACTGACAACCTGGTCCTCATTCAAGCATTTGACTATGAGAATATTTCGACTCCCAAATATTTCTCAGACTAGAAATCTAATGTTCTTTCTCCTACCTCTTCACCTTGCCTAACACTTATTCCTTGTCTTTCATGTTAGGTATTATGGGGTCATCAGAAAAGTCATGACATACTTTTCTGTTTTTCTATGCAAAAATGCATCATACCTTTCCCAACAACCCTATACTTAATCCACAATGTGCTTCCTGACCAGTGAAGCCAATGCTGAGTTAGGCAGTCACCCTGTATTCTCCAATAATGCCCTATATTCCTCAGTCGCAGCACTTCTCACTACCTGGTTATGAATCTTTTCCTCCACCATATTTAAGTTTCAAGCTATCTTGTTTATTTTGGTCCCTGTTGTATCCTCAATGCCTAACGGTCTTTGACAATTAGTAATTAAATAATCTTTGTTAAATAAATGAGTGTGCTAGAGAGTCAGAAAGAGAATTCACTCCCAAGCATTTGACTATGAGAATATTTCGACTCCCAAATATTTCTCAGACTAGAAATCTAATGTTCTTTCTCCTACCTCTTCACCTTGCCTAACACTTATTCCTTGTCTTTCATGTTAGGTATTATGGGGTCATCAGAAAAGTCATGACATACTTTTCTGTTTTTCTATGCAAAAATGCATCATACCTTTCCCAACAACCCTATACTTAATCCACAATGTGCTTCCTGACCAGTGAAGCCAATGCTGAGTTAGGCAGTCACCCTGTATTCTCCAATAATGCCCTATATTCCTCAGTCGCAGCACTTCTCACTACCTGGTTATGAATCTTTTCCTCCACCATATTTAAGTTTCAAGCTATCTTGTTTATTTTGGTCCCTGTTGTATCCTCAATGCCTAACGGTCTTTGACAATTAGTAATTAAATAATCTTTGTTAAATAAATGAATGCTTTGGGCTCTTAGGTCAAAAGTTTGCTTCTAGAACTTACCTAAGCTTATTACCAAATCTTCAGAGAACAATCTAGATAAAAGATGTGGACAATAAGACAACGTTGGAATGCAAAATGATGTGCATATTCCAAGAAGAGTGGAGAATAAATAGCTGTCAGCTAATACAAATCATGAGCCACACAAATGGACTCAGGCGAGAGTGTTCAGTTGACCTAAATTATCTGGATAATTCATTTTGCTTTAGTCCTTAAACTCCTTTATCACCTTTATAATTGGGTAGTTGGAAAAGTTTGGCACTCCCAGTAAAGAATGTGGACAGGTTCCAAGGCACTGACCCTCCTTCTATCCAGTTTCATCCCTATTAGTTCCATTTCATTCCTTTTAGTTCCAGTTGGTTCCCTGGTTTAAGTGCTTCAGAACCATTTCAGATCTGCTCTCTGATTCGACCAATTTTATGATCGAACCTCAGCGAACTTCAGTGTCTGTTTTTTACTTTGCACATTTTTCTGACATTGAGAATGTTGATGTCAACTTTTAAATAGGAAAGGCAAGACTTCACAATATCTTCAGAAAAATTCTTATTGTTATCTTAAGTCTTCCTGTTTTTTGCAATTTATCTTAAATCACATGATTAAACAAAAATAGCTACCAGAAGGCTTGCTATCACCAAGGCTGCCTCTATAGGAAGGAATCACTTCAAACAAAAATGAGTTAAGATTTCTATTGAAATGGCAAGTCGATCCAGTCAACAAGAGTAATAATAAGAGTTGACACTACGGATGTCAATTAGCTTTTGCTGTTTAACCAACTGCCCCAACACTCAGTCGCTTAAAACAATTTTTTATTTAGCTCTGAATTCTATGGTTTAGCTGCATGCTCTCCTGCCGCTAGCTGATTCAACTGATCTCCGCTGTTGGTCACTTATACCTCTGTAGTCAGTGGTTGGTTAGTGGCTGGATGATCTGGAATAACCTCACTTACATGTCTGGCAATTTTCTGACAGGCTGTCAGCAGGGGCATCTTGGTTCTCCTCCATGTGGCCTCTCATCTTCCAGGCCTCTTATCCTCCAGGTGGCTAGTTCAGACTCATTAGCATGCCAGTGTCTAGGTTCCAAACCCAACAAAAGAAACTTCCTGAGCAAGCCATTTTCAAGTCTCTGTTTGCTTCACATTTGCTAATACTCTAGATCACATGGCTAACCATGCTTTGAGGGGTGAGGAAATACTCTACCTCCTATTGGGTGTCTGTAATATCAGAGTGGAGCAGTTGTAAAGAGGGAAGGATTTGTGTTATTTTTACAATTCCACCATAATATAATTTGTATACAACTTACCTGGTTCAGTTATAACAGCCCTGTGAAGGAGTACTTATTTCCATTTTATGGATGAAGACACTGAAGTAGGAAGAAGCGAAATAAAATGCTGATAGCCGTACCACTAATAAATGGCAGAGCTGAGATTTGGACTCAGTTCTGCATTGCTTTCTCTAATCATTCTGCTCTGTGACTAGCCCAAATACTAACTGGCTGTTAACAGGTTGTTAATCTGAACTCAAGGCTTTTTTAAATTAGTATTTCATGTATATAGGCAGTAGCCTCCATCTGTGTTTATCAAATTTTTCAAAATATTTTGCAGAGATTATTTTCATTACCAGTTCAATAAAACCTCAAGCTCCAGATGTGGTTAGTCAGGCTCTCTTCTCCCGAATTTTCAAGCCCAAGGCACTTTATGATAATGAAACCTCTACTCCTTCCACTCCTTAGTAACCTTCCTTTTCCATTTATACACAGACAGGATCTTCCTTTTTCTTTTCTTTTTTCTTTTTTATTTAAAAGAATTATCTATTTAACTTTATTTATTATTATTATTATTATTTTGGAGAGGTTTTTGCTATAGAGCACTCACCAGAAAGACAGAGAGAGACAGAAAGTGAGAAATCATCCCCACCCCTACTCCCCGGGGGGGATGGCCATGCCACAATCCTTTCTCTTCCATTCTCCTCTCAGGATCTTGAGCACACACACACCTGCGCTAGGCGTGAGCTTAAGTCACCAGGTTCAAGACTCAAACTGCAGTCAACAACATGGGAGTCCAGCGACATAACCATTTTCAAGGCGTGAAATTCTCCTGTGGGTTCCACCTTTAGAAGAGGCAAGGCTCAGAACCTATTCCCAGCCCCAGTTCTCTTTTCAAGACCTGGGAGAACTCAGGGCTGTATCCTCTTTGCATAGATAAGAACTGGTCATGTGATCCCTTCAAGTTCCAGACAGATTGATAACTACACCGGAAATGAAACCAGAGCCACTGTGAACGGCAGTGCCTGGGGTTTGTCCTCTCCCGGTTCCTGCAAAGGTGAATTTTCTCTATTTCTTGTTTCTGCCCCTCCTCTCCTCCCATGACCCACCTTTCCTCCCTGGCTCCTATAGCTGCTCTCTTACTCCATCCTTCTCCTCATTACAGTCCTCTTGATTCTCACTCCTTTCACTTCCAGGTCTTTCTGACCCAAACTTCTTTCCCTCTCCTCCCCATTCCTCTCATTGGCTGAGGAATGCCATTTAGCCATAGAAATGGGCCCCACAGATGCCTTTGGCTGCAATTTCAAGAGATGGAGGACCCACGAGGTACATTAAATGCACTTGATGAATCTAGTACTCCTGTTTAATTGGAGGAAATAGAAATATATTATTTCTTACTTTGATCTATTCTAGTTCTACTCTGAAGTCTCCCATTGAGCAGGAATAAATTTATCTTCATTTGACAATTTTATGGTCCAAATCTGCTAACTCTGTCCATTTATCTGATTTAAAATACACCAAAGGATTGGACTGCTTTAACAGAAATCTGACCATGGCCAACAGCTCTTGCCATCGACAGCAACTTTTTGCCGTAGGTAAGGTTCTCAGTGTGGATGTAAAAGGCCTTGAATTCTGTCATCCCTGATCAGGGCCTCCTAGTTAAGCTTACCTCTTTGAATGACCATTATTCAGCAATAGAAATGATTCAGTAATAAAAACAAGTGCTGATTTTTTTTCTTCTTAGAAGATTTATTAAAGCTTCTCAGAGGTTGTTTTTATAAAACCCAGCCCTTAAAGTAGCTGACCTTAAAAATGTGTTTATCTAAGCTATATTCTCCAAATCGTTGACCAACATGATAAATAATTTATTTAATGTTTCCTTAAATATTATTTTGTTTGGTTTAAACCCAAAGTAGAAACTTCTTCTCCCAAAAAGGAACACTGTCTCATTTTTGTATACAATGGAAACACTTGGGAGCAAATAAAAGAAATGTAATCTTTTTCACAAATTTTGGCTTACTAAATGAACACTGGTTAATCCAGGGGTTGCAAAATAAATGTTATGACATTTGGCTGTTAAATTAGGAGCTGAGAATTTTGGTTGATGGTTATATGCTTATTTTGAGCATTTTCTTACACTAGTAGGAAAGTAAATATCTACAAATAAATATAGGAAGTAGGGCCCAAAGGATTATCAATAGTAAAATGCCCTCCACCCAAACATGAAGGAACATTCACATGGGCTGTGTTCACATTGACAAGTTTTTTTTCCACAGGTTTTGGTAAATCTAGAGTTTAGCTACATTGAAATCACTTTCAGGTGAATTTGCTAAACATGTTCATGTACCTTCCTCTGCTGAACTGTCCTTCAATCCATAGGAGCAGTAATCACAAAATTCCTACCCCCACCACAGGCATGGTCCCTAACATAGGCCAGATGATTAATTTCACTATATAGGATTCTGTGACCGGTCAAATCACACATGTGGCTCAACCTGAGCCAATTATAATCCTTGGACTTCTCCACATGGATGAGAAATAGGAGGAGGAGGAGTCCACTGTCACAGAACTAGAAGCAAATTAGAGGGTGTGTAAAAAATCTTGACTGAGCCAGCAGGTGGCGTGGAGGTCAGGGCGGCTGGATTCCATGTGGCTGACTGCATGGTTTGAGCCCTCCCTTCCTCCACCCCACCCCCAGCAGCTTGGAGAACACATTGGGTACGTGTGTGTGAATGCCCAGTGTACTGGGAGAAGAATGTAGGAAAGGGGATTGCAGCGTGGTCATGTCTCCTGAGGGGTGATTTCTCTCTCTCTCTCTCCAGTGAGTACACACACCCTATAATAAAAATAAATAAATAAATGAAGAAGAAAGCCTGATTACAGAGACCAGAACTGAGCAATAGCAACTGGGTGATTTTTTTTTTTTTTTGAGAGGTTTTTGCTATAGGGCGTGTGCACTAGCCAGACAGACAGAGAGAGACAGAAAGCAAGAAATCACTCCCCAGGGGGGATGGCTACTGCAATCCCTTCTCCTCCATTCTCCTCTTGGGATCTTGGGTGATTTTTGCCAGTGCTGTAAAAGGTCTTGAATCCCACCATCCCTGACCATTAATTCCCTTTTTTGCTTAAGCTGGCTGGAATCAGTGTTGATATGTTGCCATGAATAACCAGTCCAAAATAAATAAATAAATAAATAACCAGTCCAGACCAAGCAGTAGGTTGGAGATGAGGCATAAGTGGACCTCAAAGGATATTTGCTTATTGTTTTCCACTGGCTTTGATTTAGATTTATGCCTGTCTTTAGAGCTCCATGTACTTCTGTTCACCTTTTTCTTTGTTTGTTGTTGTTTTCTTTTTTTTTTTTCTTGGTGGAGTGTTCCTTGCAGGAGCAAGAGGTTGGAATTGTCTAGTCAGTCTCACAGTGATGGGCACGATAACCATAGTCTAGACTAAGCCAGTGCCCTGAAAGCATTCTTGCTGATTTCAGGGCACATCTCTGGATTAACATTAAACATGGGTGTGTGCTCAATGACCTGGGAATTCTTACACTTTATAATTATGAAACAAGTGTGTGAAGGCTCACTTTGGGGCCAGTTGGAAACTTACTTGGCACCTTAAAAATAAGGCACAGTACATGGTGGTGAACATATGCATGTATAATTTCATGTAAAGTTTCATATCCCTCATCCCTCATATCCTATTTTGGAGGTACCTGTACTGTCTCATTTCACAGATAAGGAAGGAACACCAAAAATTGCTCAGAAACATGATCAAGGTCACACAGTTAATGAGTTTTAGGGGCTGGATGAAATTCCAGGTCTAAAGTATTTTACTTCTTCCTAAACCTTAGCCATTATGCTGAGAAGTTAAAAAGCAGAGGGATGGCCACAGGGAACATCAGTCTACCACATGAGATTTGGGAAGGCTGCTGAGAATAGTCACCTGTAAGCAAAGAACCTTGAACTTGAAGCTAGACTATTCTAGGGATGACATCCTCGTTCTGCCACTTTCATCTTCTGTGCTCCCAGATGCATGTCTTTATTCTTCTAAGTCTGCTTCCTCTATTGTAAACAAAGGCTAATAATACAGCTGCCAAATACAGCTGCCACCAATTCTCCCATTCCCGTATATGAATGCCATTCCTTGCATGAAGAGGAGGACTCTATTTCCCTCTCCTTAAATCTGGGTTGGTACTGGGATTTGTTTGGAGCAATAAAAAGGGGAGGAAGTGACATCCTTGGGCCTCTGGGCCCAGACCTCAAGCTTCTATTCCTTCTCTATTGATACCCAGACCTATGCCTTAAGTAAGTCCAGTCTGGGGCCGACAGATGGCATAGTGATTAAAGCTCAGGGCTCTACATGGTCAACTGCGATTTGAGTCCTGTACCCAGCGGCCTGAAACTCATGCGGGGCACATGTGCATGCATGCCCAAAATCCCAAGAGGAGAATAGAGGAGAAGGGTCTGTGGTATGGCCATCCTCCTTGGAGGGTGATTTCTTGCTTTGTCTGTCTCTCTGTTTCTCTGGTGAGTGTGTCTGCACTATAGCAAAAATCTAAAAAAAAACTAACCTAATGAATGATGGGAGGCCCAAAAGGATGGCTTTGACTATTCAGGCCTTGCCCAAGCTCTCAACTGAAAAACTCTAAGCAAGACCAGCAGAAGAACCTGCCCAACTAACACCAGTCAATTCATAGAACTGTAAGAAATAATATTGTTATTTTAACCCATTAGTTTTGGGGATATTTTGTTTTACATCAATAGACAGCAACTGACATACTTATCTTGCTGGGTTGTTGGGAGAATTAAGCATGTTAATGTATATAAAAACTAGACAGTGTTGGATATTCATGTATTTAGCAAGTGTCTACTCGGCAAGAACTCTGTGCCCAATACTGCTTAAGGCAATGGGGATACTGACACAAGCCAGACAAAGTCCCTGTTCTCTCGGAGCTTACACTGTAAGAGGAGGAACAACAAATAATCTAAAATAATAATGTAATGCCAAGAACAGATTATTGCTCAGAAGAGTTGCTAGATCACAGCACTGTATTATTTGTATATTGTGTTAATTATCCTTGTCTTGCTCTTGGTTCATGCCTTCAGAAACTTGATGAAAATAAAACCAGGTGGGGCTAACAGGTGACATGGAGGTTGAAGTGGCCGAATCTCACATGGCCGACTCTGCAGTTTGAGTCCCAGACTCAGACATGCTGGGACATGTGCATGCATGCCCAAAGTCCCAAGAGGAGAATGGAGGAGAAGGGACTGCGGTGTGGTCAACCTCCCTGGGGGGTGATCTCTCTGTCTCTGTCTCTGTCTTTCTGGTGAGCGCACACACCCTATAACAAAAACCTCTCCCCAAAAAAGAAGAAAATCAGCCTCATCTTTTCCTGTATATCCATGATTCCTATAGCTTCCACCCATTTGCATAGTTTATTTTAATTATTTGTTTTCATCTCATCTATCCTCATTGGCCAAGAGCTTTCATGGGTAGACAGAGGCATGTTTCATTTGAATCCTCTGTGATTTGAGCAGAGGTTGACACCCAGTAGGTGCTAAGGGAACATTTATTGACTGATTCTACAAATGCATGTCATGGGGTGAAGCGAACCAGGCCACCCATTCACTCCTCACTGTGGTTAAAGTCCCCAAGCTGAGAGAGACTCAATATGTAGCTGCCACCCTCCCTGGAGATTCTGCCGAGTTCAGTCCAACTTCTCACTTCCCAAAGAGGTTCGTTGGTGGCCTGCTAGTGTGCACCTCCAAGCTCAGCCTGAGGAAATCCTGCCTTACTAGGGACTAATTGCTGAGAATAACCCCCTCCTGTCTTATACACCTAGACAGAAACCTCTAGAACTGTCACCAAAAGGGATACGTACACCTATACTTCCCTTGAGCTGAACCCCTAAACCCACTGAGATACAGAGAAGGACATCTGTCAGGACAGGTAGACCCCAGGAAACCCGGGACCTGTCCCCCTTTTACCCAGCAGCTAGACTACAAGTTCTAGAAAAGCCTCAACAGGGAGGAGCCTGATTTTAAAAAAAAAAAAAAAAAAGCAAGAGGAGAGACTTCCTGAGACTTTCTTTCCTTCCCATCTGACCCCTCCCCATCTGACCCAGAGGAAACAACCTCCCAGTTTGCCTCATGAAAAATACCAGGTCCAATTTCAAAGAAAACACCTTGGTTGTATCTAGCCACAGGCCGACGGGTATGCTTCTGCCCTTCCCACCAAGCCCTTCTTTCTTCTCCACTGGACCAGATACCAACAGGGCAACTTTGTCCTCCCGAGCAGCTCCGCATTCCAAAGAGGGGCTGTTGCTATTTGCTACTCTGGGAGAGAAAGCTCGTCATGGGCCTTCCCCCTACGGATCTTTCCCTGCCTCTCCTCCAGCTGCTCCTGGTTCAAGCCTCTGCCTGCCCCGGCTAATAATGCCTTGTCACGCAGTGACAGAATTATGGTCTCACACTGGTTTCACATGTCACAAATAATTGCACTCATTGCGCATCATATTGAAGTTGTCAGGACTCTCTTACGCCTATAATTTGTGTGAGTTGATCATACTTTGGTAAATCAGCAGGTCATGACCTGTGCCCTTTAGCCCCAGTGGCTGGCTGAGAACGACCTACAAATCTCATGACAGGGACAACAGAGAGGGTATGAACTGTTCAATTGCTCGTGTCTATCAGCTGCCATAGAGAAAACCCGCTGCTCTTTCCTTTCGCCGTCACTTTAACTGGTCTAACGCGGCCCCGTGTGTCATCCTGTCTTAATTTCTTCACATCTGGTTCCCCCTACAAGATTTTTTAAAAGTGCTTTTGGATATTTCTCTTCCTTTCTTTCTTTTTTTTTTTTTTCCCCTTTACCACAAGACATTTTGGTGCCAAACCCAAATGTCTTTCTTCCATGTGTTTTAAATAAAAACCCCCAGCAACTGTGATAAAGTGAATAGACTTCACTCTCTGTGTCCAGCCCAACCAAAAAGTGTTCTACGCCATGGTTAAATCCTGCTGGCAGCTTTATGAGCTCCTTGGCTAACACTTTATTGGGTAACACGTTCACAGACAGAGTTCCCGAGCCTTTGTTTTCATTAAGGTACAACATGTACCATCAAGTTCCATTTAATTCATTGCCCTGTATTTTATGCACAGTATCATTGACCGAAGCCCTCAGTATCTAATACTAGAAAGGGGGTAGGCAGCTTTTATTGCCCGGGATCTTCAATAACTAGCTTTTAGAGATTCAGTGGGAAAAAAGCGAGATGTTCAAGCTCTAGCCAGACTGATACTCTGCAGACACATGGGACTGAGGTCAAGAATAGAATGGTTTTATGTAGGTCTGTGTCCAGGAAAGCTGTAGCAGTTAGGTGCCAGAGAATGCCAACCTTCTCCTTGGTTTAAGAAAAAGAAGACAGCATCCACGTGTACATGGATGACTTTCTGGTGACTTTCATTGTGGTGACTTCCCTTTCTTTAGCAAGTGACCCCACTCCTGCAGAGAAGCGCCAATGGGTTTGTGATTCTGAGAGCAGTTGGCAACATCTTACTGCCCATCCAGAGATGCCAGGCAGTGAGGGCGATGTAATAGTAGGTGTCAGGGCAACTGGTGAAATGGAAGCCAAACAAGCCAAGCACACACTCCACACGGTATAAGGCATGTGCATTTAGCTTCTGAAGACATTGACTGAGGGCGCGTGAATGAGGATAATCAGCAGTACATATGGATAATGCAGGGTTGCTACAGAGGACACAAAGCCAAGTTGTTCAATTGTGATAGTCCCTTTCTCCCTCACCTCTTCTGGTTCATAGGCATGGGCCCCTGATGATTCTCAGCACTAGAAGGCATTGCTTTCCCTCGTCATTGTGACTTACAAACAGCTCATCACCAAGTTAGGACAGGGAACGGGGAGAGATTGGAGAAAGAAAACTGTCCAGGTCACAACCATCAACCTCCAAAGGTATCACCTACAAGGGATACGTACACCTATACTTACCTACAAGGTAAGTTCAATGCGTATGGAGGTGATTTGAGCTCTAGGATTCCCTTTCATTACTCTTTGATAGAAGAATTTAATAGAAAAGGCAAACTGAGGGAGGTTCAAATCTCAGCACCACCATTAACTGGCTTGGTGACTTTGGCAGGTAAGTCATATTCTCTAGGTCTCAGTTCATCATCTGTGAAGGACTTGACTTATAACAGGTACTGTATATTTCAATTTTTGTGTATGTGTGTGTGTGTGGGGGGGGGAGAGTCTAGGCTCTTGTTAGTAAGTAGAGTAGCCTGATGACTAACTTCAGCAGAAAGGGGATTTATAAAGATGATGTTGGTAGCTTACAGACTCTGTTGGAAGGCTAGAGAACTAAGATAAAAATGAACCTTAACCAAGGGAGGTTAGAGAACAAAAAAGCATAGCTGAAGTCAGACTTGGAACACAGTTTAGTGAGGATGCCAGCCCTGGCATTAGCCCCACCAACCACTTGGTGCTACCACTGGAATCCAGGCTTCTCTATGAACCTCTGCCTTGCCCTTCCAGATTCACTGTCCTGGGCAGCACCTCTGATTGGCCAAGTGCAGGTCACATGCTCATGACAGGCCTTGTGGAAGATGGAAAAGGGAACATCCTATGGAAAATGTGGAAGATGCTCACCATGGCATCAAGAATATTTGAAGTTCCTAGGCAAGTGTTCTCTTCATTCTCATTCTTTATATGGGGTTGGGTGAGAGAAGAGTTTAGGCTTCACATCTTACCTATAACTACTTTAATACAGTACATTTTTTGCTTCCTTTTCAATGGGGTGAGGGGAGAATCTTTGTTCAAGCACCCCATACAGACTGTCCAAAGCCTGTCCAAAGTGTGCAAGTGATATTGCTGGGAATGAAACACGCCTGCAACTCTACTTCCCATTATGTCCACAATTAGCTCACAAAAGAACTGTGGAAAAATTCAGGGGAAAGGGCCCAGCTCCATGGAAATAGCATTATGCTGCACAAGAGAAGGCAGATCCCATGTGGTGACCACAATTTGAACCCCCAGCCTGAAACATGCCGGATACACACACACACACGCATGCACTCACACACAAGCGTGACTAAGATACGATGATTAGAAGACTGGAGGCAGGGGATAGCAGTGTGAGAACCTGGAAAGGCCAGTCATTTCTCTCCCTTTCACTCTCATGTGCATGCATGTGCACTCCACCAAAAATAAAGAAAAAAACTATTTTAAAAAAGAAAGAACATGTGTGAAAAGGAGTAAAGCTACGGCTTCCCATAGGGATCAGTGAACATTGGTTACTAGGTGTAAAGTCATTTTTTGACTTCCCTATCTTTTGTGAGACAGAGCTTTAAAGAAATGCCATGGGGCTGGCAGGTGGCATGGTGGTTAAGGTGCTGGACTCCCACAAGGCTGCATATGGTTTGAATCCCAGACCCGGTAGCTTGCTTTCCTACTTTCCCTTTCTCTCTCTCTTTCTCTGGTCAAATTTTAAAAATAATAATAAATAAAATAAAACAAATATTTTTAAAAAGAAAGAAAGAGAAAGAAAGAAAGAAAGAAAGAAAGAAAGAAAGAAAGAGAGAGAGAAAGAAAGAAAGAAAATGCCTTAACTGGCAAAGCAGGATGGCGACTCAGGCAAATCCGTGGATAACGAGAGGACGAAGAATGTATCTGGAAAATTCAGTCACACCCTCCATTATTCAGTGGTTACGTTCTAGGCATTAAGCTAAGTGCTTCTGTAGCATTATTTTAAAAATATTTATTCAGAATAAATCAATGAATCATCTACCAGAGGTTGAGGGCATGTGGAATGACATGGACACAGCACAAAAGCTGGGCCTCGGGGCTTTGCTTTCAAAACAGGACATGCCTACAGATGTCTCTACACAGGAATCACAGGACACAATAGCATGGATACCTAAATGCCTGGAGATCTCATAATCTCAAAACTAGTATTCTTTGGGCCGAGGGATCAGGAGAGCAAGAGCCAAGGAATATTTCATGATTGGAAACTTTTAGTTCCTTTAATATGAAAATGCTCAACATAAAGTATTAAAGATGTAAGGATTCAGAGGGTACAGGAGGCCAAAGAAGATTAAGAGATTCTTTCCCTCAAGTGCTGTGCCTAAGTGTATCCATTATAGGGCATGGAGAGTTCTCCTCCCCTCCCCCACCCTCTCCATTTAATAGGGAAAACGCTGAAAACTTTGAAGAAATGCGTTCTTTGTTCTTTAAGTTCCATGATTAATTAGGTATAAGCCATGTTTCAAAATGTTTCGTCATTTATTTGTAATTCTCCCCAGAGCGTGTACAGTAACTTGGCTCAGAACACATAGATTACATTGCAAATGCTACTCATATGCTGAAACTTTTTATGTTTCCTCCCTTCCCTTCTCAGCTTTCCCCTGTAATACTTGAGTTGAAGAACAAAGCTGGGTTTCCATCGAAAAGCGTACCCTGCTTTGCATGGGTTGCCCTGGCCTCTCTGTAACTTCCAGAGGGGGACTACAACTGCAGACAGCTGGTAGGCGGCTCATGCCCATATGTGGTGGGATCTCCAGGGTTGTTGCTACCCCAGTATCTTTGCACCAGTCAAGCAAAGTTGTGCACTGCTTCAAGTTTGGTCTTCATCTCCTCATCTCCATCCACACCTCCCTCCCCAGGAGTAGCCCCTCAGTATAAACTAGTGCACAACGTAGTAGAGTCATAAACACGTGGGATCCAGCAATGTGGGAGGTCTGTTTCAATTTTTAGAGCTTCATTTTTCTTATCTATAAAATAGAGATAATAGTCTCTGAGGTCCATTGGGTCAATCATGGGATTAAGTATGATTTAGCACAGTACTTTATTCAGAATATGATTTCTATGAACTTGATTATTTTTATTTCTTTCAGTTTGGCCCAACTCCCAACCCCAAATACACACATGCACATACACATACACACACACACTTCTGGGTAGGATGACTTAGGACAGTGCTTGGAGCAGCAAGTTTGAATCTATCCAGAGAAAAGTGGAACTATCAGACAAGTGTCCAAGTGAAAACACTGTGTGATACATGCTCTCACACCCACAAGACCTCAGGACACAAGAGTCGCAGAGTATGTTTACTGATTCCAGGGCAGAGGCTGCTATTGAGGCAGCCTCTCACTTCGGACTATCTTTGCTTCTCACTATTGTCAAAAGAATACTTCTCTTTCCAAGCTCAGATCAAATGCCGCCACCTGCTTGCAGTTCTCACTTCAATTAAGCTAACTGCATACTTCGGTCACTCTTTAGGATGGACTGTATGTGGCCAAGACTGAGGCCCAGTCTCAGTAAGCTTCATCTACCTGGGGCTTAAAGTG